GGAGTCATCATCGCCTTTTGTTTTTTCTTGTCGGGCGAAGAACTCCCACAGGAGATTGGCATCGATCGGACGTGTGCATTTTTCTCGGCGGGGGCCATCAAGGAGCATCCAGTATCATCGAGCAACAAAAAACACGCACGAAACCGGCCAACGCACTGGGAATGGACGCCTCAGCGATGGCAAAGGAGGCGATTCATGGCCGAGAAAGTTTGAACACATGTGTACGCCAAGGTAATTCCCAAGGTTCTCTGCCGTCTGCCGCCAGCGCACTCTCGATCAGAAAGGATGTGCGCCAGAGTTCCGGTCAGACCGAGGTACAGATCGAGGTCGGTTCGGGGAGGGTACCTTGATGTTCTTCTTGTGTGTTGGACGCGCTTGTGCATCCTGGGGGTGGGTGCCCTCGATTGATCTGCAGTTTGGCCAGCGGAGGGTCACCTGTTCTTGAAGGATGCTTGTTCTTCTGTCCTGGGTCTGGCCGTAGGGGAACCTCATGCGAGGACGGCTGGCAGTCGTGACGTCATGTGCAAGAGAACGTTGCCTCGGGAAGCGCGAGTCCTGTGTGATTCGCAGGGGGTCGCCGCCTCAGGGGCGCGAACCTGGTGTGATTTTTGAGGATGACGATCTCGGGGGCGCGAAGTTGGCGCAGTTTCCCGCGGGTCGTGGCTTCGGGTGCCCGAGTCTGGCGTGATCTACGAGGGAGCGTGGCCTCGGGGGCGCGAATGCGGCGCAATCTACGATAACCTGGGCAGGCCGGGGTGAGCAGGGTGGTGTTCGGTTCCCCCTCGGCGCGGACGGTAACAATTTGCAGATGAGAGCTACAAGTGTAACTAGATAATTAAAATTGCCCTGGGACTATGACTAGGACGGAGGTGGTACCTACATTGCTGAAGCCCGATCTTCACAGCCTGGTGGCCCCGCAAGGGGGCGGGCGGACTTCTCCGAGCTACCAGGGCGTCTTTGGTTGAGGCTCGCTGGATGCATACACGTGTATATATGCACATACACTGGTGCATCCTACACGCAGATGCCCAGATGCAAACACAAACCCCAACATAGACCACCAGACAGAGAAAGAGAGAGAGAGAGAAGGAAGGAGAGCGGGCGGAACACGACAAAAGCGTGCGAGTGTGGATTCTGGCTCATCCCGCTATCGCGCCTGGGTTGTGGACCACAGCCCTTTTGGGTGCGTATTGGGGTCTCCTGGCATGCCTCTCGGCGGCCTCTTGAAGACGTTGTTGGAGCTGTTGGGCGAGGGCTATTGGAGACCTGTTGTGGCCTTGGTAGAAGAGCACAGCCTCCAATGCGGAGGACTTATTGGACCTGAGGACACTCACTGCCTGCGGCACGTTGACGAAATTACAATATTGATCGGGTACTCGGTTCTGGTATATCCTTCAATCTAATGAAGTGCAGAAGTGATGTTGTATGTATGCTTTGAGTCACGGCAGCGTGCGCGATTGTTCTCGCAACGTGGGCGTCCATAGCCCTTTTGGTCCAGTCAAACAAGGTAATGTCCAAATGATTGCCGTAATTCGACTACCCGTACTCGAGGGTGGTAGCGTAGTTGGTTCGGTTTCTTCTGGCAGCCTGTGAGGCGACAGTGGGCGACCCGACGACAGCGGTGAACAAGTATGTATAGTACCACGAGGCGGGTTGCGAAGTCCGGCTTCGGCATAGGGGATAGGATATTATATGGTTCCCCAGACAGTGTTTGTATTTCAGGCTTCTCACTTCTGGTCTTAAGAGCAATGCCTGTGTGTCGGTCTGGCGGCTTTATGCCAGCCGTCACCGCCCAGTCGCCGCCTCGTCGCCGCCCGTCGCCGTTGCTTCGCCGTCGTCGTCGCGATGCGTTGCTTTGCGTTGCATTGTTTCGCGTTGCTCTTCATTGCTCCGCAGTGCTTCGCATTGCAAAGCATTGTTTTGCCGGGCCTTGCTTTGCATTGCTGTGCGTTGACTTGCTTTGTTCTTCGTTGCTCTGCATTGCTCCGTCTTGCTTCGCATTGCCACGCCGTGCTTAGCATTGCCCTACGCTGCCATTGAAGAGTAGGAATGACGGCTTAGAGTTGCTCAAGCCGTACGGACAATTTTTAATTGCCCTCGGTGGTTACGTCAGTTCATACAACATAGAGTGCATCACGTAGTTTGCCCCACGCAGCTCATACTACATAGATGAGTACGCTAGCTCCTCGCACATCACTAGATTGCACCACATAGCTGAAACCACGTAGCTCGCGCCACATACGAGAGTACGCCAGCTCTCACCACACCCATTGCAGCACGTAGCTTGCACCACATAGCTCACGTTTCATAGATGAGCACGTAAGTTCCCCAAAAGAATTAGCATCTCCCTCCCCCCCGGCCTTAACGGTTCACCTTTTCCGTATTGCAATGTACATATGATTCTGCCCCATCGTCCACCCTAAGCATGAGAGTTCGTACGGTCTAAGGCAGGCCGGAGTTCGCCCCCCCCACCCTCACCCTTTGCGAAAATTACTACGCGCGCGCACTCGATTTATCTTTTTATATATATACTCACAAATATACACATACATACACTTAAGGGTGTGTAAGGATTTCAAAACAGATATGCACGAACACATGTCAAAAACACGCAGCTGCGCAACAAGGGGTTTTCAAAAAAGCCTGAGCCCGCGCTCTTGCGGGTTTTCAGGAAAACCATACGTTTTTCAACATTCATACATGCTCTCAAACGGGCCTCTCGCGCGCGCATGTCGAAATCGTTCGAACGCCCTTGCGCGCGTGCTGTCGCAAGAACCCTGTGGTAAAACAATCGACGAAGTACACGCGCGCGCGTCATCGCGCGCGCGTGCCGAAATCCCAAAGACTGTTGGCTGCGTAAGGATGTCAAACACGAGTGCCCCGAATACATATCAAAATACATGTTTGTGCAACATCAGTGTTCAGAACAAGTCCTGCGCTCGCGGTCTTGCGGAGTCTTAAGAAGACCATCGGTTCTTCAATTTGCTCATCCAATTCTGCCAAGCGGGCCTCTCGCGCCGCATGTCGGACTCGCTCGAGCCCTTGCGCGCGTGCTGGATGGGGCACGACCCGTGTCAGATAATACCACGCGGGCCATTCGCGCGTGTCGGCCGCGCGCGCATGTCGAATTCGCACAAAAACCTTCATCGCCGACGCGAGGACATCGTCATCTTTATCGGCGGGCATGATCAAAGTCGGTGCCGTCTTCGGCCTTGCCGTCGTCACCGCCACCATCGCCACCATCATTGCTACTTTCACCATCTTGTCTACCGTTGCCGGCGTCGCCATGATTCCGCCAGTCCAAGTTACCGACTCGCACTGAAGTGCCCGCTGGGACGTGCCCAGCGGTCAGCGCCACCGGTTGCGTCGGTCGCGCCAAGCTAGCTGGCCGCCGTGCGCGCGAGCGTGCGCTGGTCAGCGCGGCCGCAAAGATGCACCAGTCAACGCCAAGCACTCATCGCAATCGCCGCCGCATGGGTTTTGCAAACCCAGTTGCGGGTGGGTGGGTGCGGTGTGTACAAGGGTATTGAATGTGTCAACTGATTTGTAAAACATGCACCATAAAGGGCGCACCATATATAATGCTTCACACAACTTGAGTCACATAATTTGTTTCACACGGGTAGTACCACATAGATCGCTAGAAACACATATTGTGGGGCCCACGCTGGCTTACATGGTCTACGTGGTGCCGTAGACGTGGTGCAATATATTTGCGGCAATCTATCGGGTGCAATCTCCGCGGTACAGCTCAAGTTGACATCTTCGAGGTCGTCAACACTGGCGCTCGAGCAGCCATCGTTCGCAAAATGCGAAGTTGGCGCAGTGACGCGAGGACCGTTACCAAGCAGGTCCAGAACTCGATAGGCAGGTGACGATGGTGACGACGACGCCTGCGACGGCGACGATAGAGATGGCGGTAATGGTGATGGTGATGGTGGCGGCGTTGATGGCAAGGGCGACAACAGACACGGTGACGATAACGATTATGATGGCGACGATGGTGTTGATGATGAGGATAATGACAGTGAGGGCGTTGACTAGAAAATGTTTAGGCTGATGGAAGCGATGGTGAGCACAGTGACAGAGGCAATGAAGCCGCTGGTGCTGGTGATGGTGATGGTGTCGATGATGATGACATGGGGTCGCTCGCCACAGAAAACCTGACTGCTTCTTCAAAGCTGAAGACAAGTAGGTGTTTCGTGTGCATTGGAGCACAAGGAATTTCAAACGCTTCGAAAACATGGTTGCACAATGATTTCCACATGCGCGCGCGGGGACGCGCGCGTGTGGCCTGCATTGTACGATCTGGATCAGGATTGGCGTGTGTGCGATGATGGCTGGATGATGGCCCGCGTTGTCTCGTTTGATTGTGTTGGTTTCCATTCGTTCGATACGTGCGCTGGCAGAACTCGTGTTGTCCATTGAAGCCAACGCGTGCTCAGACGCGTGCGAGAAACACAATATTGAAACCGTTCGGGAACATGTGGCATGCGCGCGTGGGGGACGGGTGGAGCGTGCGCGTGTTCCGTATGACTTTTTAAGCTGGGTCTGATTCAGTCAAAAGCACTTGTCAAATTAGGGCGAGTTCTCCGCATGGTGCTAGTTTACAGGGATCAAATTGAGGGGATTATTGGATTGGCTGGGATGGTGCGAATTCAAATTTAAGATGGACGATCGTGTAGAACTTCTACGAGCAATCAGAGCGTAGAAGGGGGGGCATGCAGTCTGGCCTCGGCATGGGGTATGTTGTAGTACGTTGTGGTGCAAGCTATGTGGCGCAAGCTCTGTGGTGCAATCCATGCGGCACAGCTTCTGCAGTGTAACATGTGTCGTACAATCTATGTGGTGCAAGCTGTGCTGTGTTATCTGCACACGCAACTCTTCGTCGAGCAAGCGCACATTGGGGACGTTCAGCCAGCGCGCCAAATGTTTGTTCAACCCGTCTGGTGCGTATATCCGAAAAGCAGTGGCCAATTGCTTCACAGAGAGTACATCGTAGCCGTTTTGGCTTAAGCCGTTTTTAGCTCAGGAGTCTTGCCCGCATCTGGCGATTCCAGAGGCCCCTCCCCACACAGGGAAGTTCACGCCATGGCTATGAAGCTGGCGCTGCTCTCGGTGCTCACCAGCGGTGCCGCGGGTGTGGAGCTGGACAGCTCCAATTGGGACGCGATGACGGGTGGCAAGTCTGTGTTCGTCAAGTTCCTTGCCCCTTGGTCATCAGCATCGCTAAACCGATCCCAGTCCCCAGTTGACCATGGTCTCTCATCCCCGCCACCCACCCACCCCAGGTGGGGATAGGTCCCTCGAAACCCGAAGTGAAAGGCATATGTGATCCCGGGTCGAGGGTTCACAGCCCCCTCCCCCCCAGATGGGATGGGCCCCAGGGTTCCACAGCCCCTTTCTCCCAGATGGGATGGGGGGAGGGGCGACGACGACGACGACGACGACGCAGACGCCGAAGCCGACGCCAACCCCGACGCCGACGCCGACGCCGACGACGACGTCAGAAGACGACGACGACAACGACGACGACGACGACAACGAACCACCCTACACCCACAGGCGGGGGGTAGCACGTGCACCCTCCACCACGCCACGCCCACAGGGCCATGACCACGGGGGGGGGGAGCGATCCCACTCGCAAGGCTCACGGCCGTAACCATCCAGCGGGGGGGGGGCGGCTCAATCCCATATGCAGTTGGGGGCGGAGCAACCCTTGATCATACAATCCCGGGTCGAGAGTTCACGGCCCCCCCCCCTCCAGATGGGATTGGACCCAGGCTTCCACAGCCCCCCTCTCCCAGATGGGTTGGGGGGACGCCGATGACGACGACGCCGCCGACGACGACGACGACGATGACGACGACGACGATGACGACGACCACGACGACGACGACGCCGACACAACCGCCGACGCCGACGACGACGACGCAGGCGCCGGTGCCGGCGCCGGCGCCCAACGCCCGACGCCCGACGCCGACGCCGACCCCGGCGCCGATGCCGACCCCGACGCCGATGCCGATGCCGACGCCGACGCGCCGACGCCGACGCCGAAGGAAGACGCCGACGACGACGGAAGATGACGACGACGAACCACCCCCACACCGATAGAGGGAGAGGGGGAGCTTCGGCACCCTCCACCACGCTGCGCCCACAGGGCCATGACCATTGGGGGCGCAGGGGGAGCGATCCCATTCGCGAGGCCTCCGCGAGGTTCACCCAGCGGGGGGGGGTTCGATCCCACATGCACTGGAGGAGGGGGGGGGCAACCCTGGCCCCACCTCGGGGGGGAAGTCGGCCAGTGCAGCCAATGCCAAGCCATTGGGGATGTAGATCGGTCAAACGACGCTCAGGTGAGGCCACTGCAAGAACATGAAGCCCGCCTGGGACAAGCTGATGAAGGACTTCGAAGGGTCCACCACCTCGCTGGTCGCCGACGTCGACTGCACTGAGTCGGGGAAAGACTTGTGCGAGAAGCACGGGGTCGGTGGTTTCCCCACGATCAAGTACGGCGACCCGGGCGACTTGAAGGACTACAACGGCGGCCGGGATTACGCGGAGCTCAAGAAGTTCGCCGACGAGAACCTCGGCCCGACTTGCGGTCCAGACTACATGGAGCTCTGCGACGCCAAATCGAAGGACAAGATCAACAAGTACATGGCCATGTCCACGGCGGATCTCGATGCCAAGATCAAGAAGGCCATCGAGGTGGTCGAGGTGGACATACCGATCATGAACAAGGCCATCTCGTACGCCAAGTCTAAGAGGTAAAGCAGGGCGCGCGCGCGTTCCGAGAACCAACAGTTTTGGGTTCCTGCAGTTTCGCAGCCTCGCCCCATGGAAGGGGAGGGGAGGGAGGCAAGTGTGTCCACAGTTCGGTCGGTTCGTCTGCGTCGCCGTCGGTTGCATTCGGTCGGCCCGATCCGGTCGGTTGTCGCGTCGTTGCTGAGTCGTTGCGTCCTTCCCAGATCCCCGACGTCATGATTTGTTCATGACGTCGATCCCAGAGGTCTTGACCCATTTCCCTGGAGCGGTTTCTCATCCCATGTCGTTTTTCGACGGCCCCGAGGCCCGGCAAGGGCACCCAGAGGCCAAACGTAGCGAGAAGTTTCCTGCCATGATTTGTTGTTTCATGGCAGGGGCCGCCTGGGTTCTCGGCTGCGTTCGCTCGGTGTTGTCTCGGCTGGTTCTGCTTTCGCCATCGCTCTGGTCGGCGCCCGGCTCAGAGGTCGCCGCCGGGAGAGGGGAGAGCGCGCACGTGAAGGGGCAGCGGGCGGGCGCAGGAGGGGCCGACGAGCCCCTGGCCTCAGCACCGCCGTCCCAGGCCGCCCTGCAGAGCAGGAAGAGGTACCGATACCGCTGCCCTTCAGGGCGGGAAGAGGTTTCCCCTTTGGGGCTTTTGGGGCCTCCTGGGGAGGCGCTCGTCGACACCGCCGGGGTCGCCTCGAAATCCTGGTCAGAACGCAACCCAGGAGAGGCCCGGGGAGTGGCGGTATCGGTACCTTTGGGTTCCCCAGCCCTGAGATCCGACGTTGCACAGCAAACAAGATTCGGGCCTGCGCGTGGCCAGGAGCCAGGAAGCCAGACCCGCTCGGGCCATGGAAGCATCGCGATGGAAGGTTTTACGTTATCGTCGGCCCTCGCCAGGGCCCGGGACCGTGAAACAACGGCTCGGGACAAAAAACGACCCTGGGGAATCGGTCGAGACATTTGGGGGTCGACGATCTGAAGAAATCACGACGTCGGGGGTCTGAGAGATAGGCGCGGACAACTCGGGGATGGGCCAAGCCAGCCGCGGGCGCCCGACATTTCTTTGCCCGCAGCCGAAGTGTGCCGGCCAGGCACGCTTCTGACCGACCAGCGTGGGCCTGCGAGTGACGCTGCCCGGCTCTGCGCCCTGCCGCGCGCGCGCGCCCGCGCGTGCGGCTGGCGCGGCTGGGCTCAGCCGACGGCCTCGACCGCGCCGGTTGGCTCCCGTGGGGCACATCTTCCTCGGGCCCCGCGCGGCCGCACAAACTTTGCCGTGGCCGATGTGCAGCGCGGCTCCGCGAGAGCAGAGAAAAACTTCACGGAAAAGCAGGGGCCCACTTATTGGTATTGTTGTCAGTCTTGCCATGGTGTTCGACCTGTCTGCTTACCATGGCTAATCACCGAAGCGTGTCAACGACTCGGTACGTATTCCAGTTTATTTGGAAATGCTTGTTCAGCGTAGTCGCTGAGCATATTCGTTGGCACACTGGTGACTGCACGCTTTTGCTGATATGCGTCCTTAGCCCTTGTTGTGTTGAGTTGTGCGAAGCTTGAACTCCACATGCTGCGTTTATCCAATAATGAAGCCACTTGAGCGACGGAAATAACGGGGTCGTCTGCGCTGACATTTGCGCGTAAGCTGCTCGCGTATGGTCGCCCGTAAGCACCCTCGTCGCTGATGTAGCGTGCCGCGCTGGCGGCCCGCACAAGCTGCGGCGTAAGGTCGCTGTGGCATCTCGCGTAAGACCTGTTTTTGATCGTCGCACACTTGGTTCTCAATGCTCGAGTGGTCTCGGAGGGCGTCTTGGGGCCCTTGTGAGCTTTTCTTTGGGCTCTGATGGGTGATTTTGAAACGTTGTTGATTCCTTATGCGTTTTTCATCGGTAGCGAAGAGTCCCGCGGGCAAAACCCAGTGCGAGAATTTCAAATTTTGCGCGGACTGGGGTTTGCAACCGTTGTGCTCCATATGGTGTAGTACAAATCCATTGCGCGTTCACGTTTCTGAGCGCCCTTGTGGGGCTCCATTGGGATGACTACGAGGGCCTTGCAGGGAGTCTGGGTGCCCTTATGGATTTCTCTTAGGCCTTGTTGGGCCCCACCATGCAAATATTTGAAATGACAAAAATCAATTATTACGTGTTTCCTTTTTGGAGCCAGACAATCTCTTCAGAAGATCGGCCGACTGGGCTTTGTGGCGCATATCGGCCGTCGCAGTGTCTGCCGAACTCACCTTCGAACCGCATAGAGCGCGAGCGCCGCGAAGCGGCGCCGGCCCGAGGCATCACTTGCCTGTGGTTCGGGAGTCGGGGTTCGGGGCCGGGGCCTGCGGGAAAGCGCCCGCCTGGCTTTACTGGCCGCTCGCGAGGGCCCGATGTGGCGGGGCCGATCGGGCCGACCGACCCCCCGGAGAGTCTATACGCAGGTCGTGTGCGCTTTCCGAGGGTGGCCCCTTCTTCTGGCCCGCACGGGGTCCAGTGATGGCCCTGTCTTCCACCACCACCACCATGAGTTGAAGGGGGAAGGAGGTGGAGGACGAGGAGGACGAGGAGGAGCACCCCCCCCTCCAACTGATGGTGGTGGTGGTGGTGGAAAACAAGCCCATCTTCCAGGGTGACTGTGCGACCCGTGCCGTTTTTCAAGGCTACGGGCACTTCGGGGGCCCATCGTGGTGGTCGGCGGGGGCCGCGGACGCCCAAGACAGCCCAACAGAGCCCCAAGACGGCCCCAAGATGCGCCCAAGAGGGGGACCACGACTCCAAAATTCGACCCTCCCGCTTGAAGAGTGCCCCAGGAGGCCCCAAGGAGCCCCCCAAAAGGCCCCAGGAGGCCCCCAAAAGGCACCCAGACGACCCGCGCCGTTTTCCAAGGCTGTGGGCACTTCGGGGGGCCCCTCGTGGTGGTCGGCGGGGGCGCCCGCGCCCTCGGCGGGCGCCGCGGGCGCCCCGGGGGCCCGGCATCCGGGAGGTGGCGGGCGACGACGGCTCCGCCCCCCGGCCGCGGGTCTCTCGTCCTCGTCCTCCTCCTCCTCCCCCTCCTCCTCCTCCTCCTCCTCCTCCTCGTCCTCGTCCTCCTCTTCCTCCTCCTCCTCCTCCTCCTCCTCCTCCTCCTCCTCTCCCACGAGCCCCGACCTGACCCTTGCAGCACCCTTAAAACGATGCGAAGATCGGGACAAAATCGGATCGGGATAACTCGAAATCTCTGAGAATCGGCGGGTTTGGAGGATGTATCGGGCGCCGCGGCCGCTCCAGAGCGTTCCAGAACGCTCTGAGAGCGCTCCGGAACGCTCTGGAGCGATTTATCCCGATCCTAGCCTTGTTTTACCTCTTCCCTGGGCCCGCGTTTCACCACGGAGCAAGCGGCATTCGCTTGCCCTGGTGGGGCGACGCCCACTGCCATCGGCATTGGAGGGCCCTGGCGGATCGCACCGCGCCGCGCAAGCAGGGTAAAGATTTGGTTTGTGCTGTTTTCCTCTGCTTGTGATTTTGCTTGGAGCGATCCCACCCGAGAACACTTTGGGGATGCCGTCCGCAGCATGCAGTCGCCATCCGTCGACGACACGAGGCGGGATCCCCACGGACAACTGGCACCGTTTGGGCCTTTGCGGCCGCGGTATGCAAGGTGCGCGAGGCGGTTCGGAAGCTCTCAGAATAATAACTCCAACCTGCTGGGTTGGGAAAAGGATATGAAATGGAATATCTGCGTGTTTTGCTCCCCCACCGGGCAGCCTGACTTGACCGCACCTGTGGGTACACCGGCTTCCGGTGCCTCAGGCCACCTGCGCACTCCTCGCGGCGAAGATTCTCAACGCTTCAGACATCCTCCCGCGTTCCTCCTCCGCGTCCGCCCTCTTCTTCCCCTAGCTTGCTGTGTGGGGCAGTAGTCCTGGCGCGGTCCGCCAGCTACCACAATAACGCGATGTGCGCTCGCCCTCGCCGTTGACTAAAAAGTTGTCCCCCTGTTCCCACGCTCCGTTCCAGCCTCAGACACGGGGGTGCATGCAGCGCGCTGGAGGACTACGCGAGGCAGCTGTCCCAGTTCAAGAAGGAGACCGCCGAGCGCAAGCGGGCCAGCCTGCAGCAGGAGGTGCGCTGGTGCTGGGCACGTGCAGGAGGGCGACCACGACGACGCCACGGCGACGACGGCGATGGTGTATACAGCGAGCATCGGTTTTGGCAATGCTGCGGGTTGCGCACAGAGCTCCCCCAGGTAGTCTTAAGTCGGGCCTGTCCCTCTACACGGGAAATATTCAAAAATAGTAAAAAAATTGTCTGTGGACGATTTGGGGTGTATTTTTTGACAATGTGGGGGTATTTTTTGAATCTGTTCAATTTTTCGCCCAAGATCCCCCTGCAGGGGGACACGCCCGACTTAAAGGTAGTCCTGGGCCTGGGTGGCCTCAACAGGCCCTCCGAGTAGCCCCGGGCGATCTCCACACTGGCGCCGCCTCCAGCGGCGCCCTTGGGGCGTTCCGCACCCCAGGGTTGAGGCGTTGAGACCGCCCCAGGCCACTCAGTACTCGGGGGGCCCGTTGAGGCCAGCCAGGAGGAGGAGGAGGAGGAGGAGGAGGAGGAGGAGGAGGAGGAGGAGGAGGAGGAGGGAGAGGGAGGAGAGGGAGGAGGAGGAGGAGGGAGGGAGGAGGATGGGGCGGGTCTGCGCGCAGGCCGAAGCCCTACCAATCGGCTAAACGTAAGAGTGGCCCCTCCTCGCCCTTCCCCTGAGCAAGGGCGCCCTCGAGGGCGCGCAGTTATTCGCACTTCGCGCTTCGCGGTTCGGCTCCGATTCCTCCTCATCCTCTTCTCCCCTGGGAGGCGGCGCGAGAACGCGAAATTGTTCGCACTTCGCGCAGCGCGAAGCGTGAAGTTGGGAGCCTTTGCTGAGTTACCTCTGGTGCGCGGTTTGCGGGGGGCGCGGGGGGGCCAAGCCCAAGCGCCCAGGCCGCTGCTGGTGCATCGCATGCAGCGGCCAGCAAGCCGCGCGGCCCAAAGGTCACCCTTGCCTGGTATCATTCTTATTCCCAACCATCCTGTGGTGTTGGGTCCTCGTTTTGAAGAAACGGTCCCCGCGTTCTCCTCTCATCTCCTCTCCTCCTCTTCCCCCTCCTCCCTCCTCCCATCAGCATCATCATCATCATCGTCATCATCATCATCATCATCATCATCATCATCATCATCATCATCATCATCATCATCATCATCATCATCATCATCATCATCGTCTTCATCATCATAATCATCATCATCATCATCATCATCATCATCATCATCATCATCATCATCATCATCGTCATCGTCATCACCCACCATCATCGTCATCATCACCATCATCGTCACACCTCTCACACGTTTCGTGGCCCCATAGGGAGCTCCACCGAAGGCCCCAGTGCTGCCGCCCGCATGCGTCAGCCACACCAATTCGGCATTCACACGCTTTCGTGGCCCCATAGGGAGCTCCACCGAAGGCCCCAGTGCTGCCGCCCGCATGCGTCAGCGTTTGGACGTTTGCGTGGGCACACCATATAGGGAGCTCCACCGAAGGCCCCAGTGCTGCCGCCCGCATGCGTCAGCCACACCCAATTCGGCACACCCCTCACACGTTTCGTGGCCCCATAGGGAGCTCCACCGAAGGCCCCAGTGCTGCCGCCCGCATGCGTCAGCCACACCCAATTCGGCACACCCCTCACACGTTTCGTGGCCCCATAGGGAGCTCCACCGAAGGCCCCAGTGCCGCCGCCCGCATGCGTCAGCCACACCCAATTCGGCACACCCCTCACACGTTTCGTGGCCCCATAGGGAGCTCCACCGAAGGCCCCAGTGCTGCCGCCCGCATGCGTCAGCCACACCCAGTTCGGCACACCCCTCACACGTTTCGTGGCCCCATAGGGAGCACCACCAAGGGCCCCAGTGCTGCCGCCCGCATGCGTCAGCCACACCCAATTCGACACACCCCTCACACGTTTCGTGGCCCCATAGGGAGCTCCACCGAAGGCCGCAGTGCCGCCACCCGCATGCGTCAGCACACCCGATTCGGCACACCCCTCACACGCTTCGTGGCCCCATAGGGAGCTCCACCGAAGGCACCAGCGCCGCCGCCCGCATGCGTCAGCCACACCCAATTCGGCACACCCCTCACACGTTTCGTTGCCCCATAGGGAGCTCCACCGAAGGCCGCAGTGCCGCCGCCCGCATGCGTCAGCCACACCCAGTTCGGCACACCCCTCACACGTTTCGTGGCCCCATAGAGAGCTCCACCGAAGGCCCCAGTGCTGCCGCCCGCATGCGTCAGCCACACCCAATTCGACACACCCCTCACACGCTTTCGTGGCCC